GTTCCCATTGCCACTCAGAGCAAAACCCAAACCCTCACACTGGCTACCAGGCCCTACACCGTCGGCCCTGACCCCCAACCACAGCCCCTTCTCCCATCCTCCCCCACTGCACTGGGGCTGCACAGTCTCCTGCACTGCAGCCAGCTCTTAGCCCCAGGTCCGCACCCTTGCTGGTCCCTCTGCCTAGAATGCTCTTCCCTGACAGCCACGCGACTCCCTCCCTCGCCTGCTTCAGATCTTAGCTCAAATGTACCTTTTTCAGTGAAAAGTTCCCAAATCAGCCTATTTAAAAATGTAGCCCCACCCCAACTCCACGAGCCCTGTTCTGCTCCCCACTTAATTTTTCTGCTCCCCACTTAATTTTTCTCCATTTATCACCATCTGATATGCTACATATTTTACTCATTTTCTTATAATCTTGTATTTTTTGCTTCTTAGTTTCCTGGGTTCCTGCCTCCCCAACTAGAGCATAAGGGAATCTAGAGCAGTGTATGACATATAATAGGTGCTCCGTAAAAATTTGCTGAATGAACCAAAGAATCTGATTCAAACAGTGTGGGTGGACAAAATGTGAACTTTTATGTTGCGATTCTACAACTGAGTATTCGGGTGACCCTGGAGAGGTTGTTTAACATTTTCGAGCTTCACAGTCCTTATTTAAAAACAGGCTGGGCATGGTGGCTCACGCCTGTAATCCTAGCTCTTGGGAGGCCGAGGCGGGCGGATTGCTCAAGGTCAGGGATTCAAAACCAGCCTGAGCAAGAGCGAGACCCGTCTTCTACTATAAATAGGAAAGAAATTAATTGGCCAACTGATATATATATATAAAAATTAAGCCGGGCATCGAGAGAGAGAAATAGAACACTATAGATTAGATTACTACAGAGCACAATAAAAAATAAGAGTTGATTTCAGTTAAGGGTTTGCATTGTTCTATGAAACTCTTATTTCAGTTGTATGTTTGTGTCATGCATGAACCTGTATAGGTACAGTCATCCCTTGATGTCTACAGAGGATTGGTTCCAGGACCTCTGTGGGTACCAAAATCCATGAATGCTCAAGTCTCTGATATAAAATGATATAGTATTTGCATATAACCTATGCACATCCTCATGTATACTTTAGATTGTCTCTAGATTGCTTATAAGACCTAATAGAATGCCTATAAATTACTTCATTGGAGTAGATTCAATACAGTACTCAGTGCATGGCAAATTCAAGTTTTGCTTTTTAGAACTTTGTGAAAATATTTTTCTGAATATTTTTGATCGATGGTTGATTAAATCCACAGATGCAGAATCCATGGATATGGAGGGCTGACTGTATATGGGGTGTATTAGATCATAATGTAAGATATATCTATCTCCTACCTACGCTTGTGGTCAGAAAAATTTGGAAACATTATTAGTGATCATCAGTGAATCTTCTTCACTCTATTTATTTATATCTATCCCCCTTAAAAAAAAATGGTTATGTCACTAGATATTTTTCAACGGGGAACAAACATTTACTTAGCACCCGCCCTGTCCTAAGTACTTTGTGTCTCCTTAATTCAGTTGATTCTCACAAAAACCTTCCCAGGTGAGTTGTCGTGTCCCCAGCTCACTGTCCAAGAACCTGGGGCTTGGACAGGTGGGGAAGAGGGTCATCTACCCACAGCCTTTATGGCTGGTGTAGTTGAGGAAGGTGAGGAGGCTGAACTCAGTGTCCCAAGGACACATCAAATGGTCCTTATTTGCCAAAACTCCAGAAAGATGTTTCCAGCTTGAATTCTTGTCGTGGGACTTTGTTTTCAAGTGGAATGCAGGAAAGGAAAACTTCTGGCTCTGCTCTCTGCAAAAGTAAGGACCAGTTTATGGTAACGAGGTCCTAAGCAGTGAGAAGCAGAGAGAAAAGCACTGTCCCCTCTGGGCTGAGCTAACCCTGAAAGGTGAGCACTGAGCAGGAATCAGGGAGAGGAATAAGGAGTAACCAGGAAAACTGGGTAGAGCTTGCAGGTCTGAGAATGACCTATGGCAGTGGCCAAGACTGGCCAGGGCAGGCTCGAGTGGCTCCTGGTCCCTGCCCACCTGAGGAGGGGAGGAGGGGGCTCACTCCTGGGGCTGCGGCCAGGGCCTCTGCCACCCTCCCCGGGGCTCCCTCCCCACACTGGCCGGCCAAAGCTCAGCCTTGCTTCCTCTTGCAGTGTGGCCACGAGGATCGAGCAGAGGAAGAAGATGAACTGCAAGTCCTTCCGCTGGTACCTGGAGAACGTCTACCCAGAGCTCATGTGAGTGCAGCCCTCATCTTGTGCATCATGCCTAGCGGGGGCTGGCAGCTTGGGCCCCTCACCCCCACCCACCTTGGACCCCTCATCCATGTTAGTCTGGCTCTTTCTAGCTGCCAGGATTTATGTTCATGTGAAAGTTCTGGGGGAACCGAGAGGGCATTACTAGGATTTATAAATTAGGCATGGTAGCAACTGAATTTTTAACAGTCTGGGTCTTAGACCTAGAAATGGACGTTATCCCCTTAGGAAACCAGTGCTACATTATGCAGCAAAGACTGCAGAAACATTCACCCTTTGACCCTGTTCTCTCCCTTCTGGGAGTTTATCCTAAGAAAATAAAGCAACCAAAGCAAAAAGCTGTTGACCAGTATATACTGTAAGCTTATCTGCTGCGGTGAAAAAATGAGAAACAACTTAACAATAGGGGCTGGCTTCAGTGAATCAGCATGCATCAATTTAAACAAATAGGCATTCATTAATATAATATAGTAAAGACTGTGAATAAACTTGGGGAAATGTTTGCTATAGAAAATGAAGAAGCAAAATGCCAATGGTGTGTACACTAGGGTTCCAGTCATGGGTGAACATGGGTGTGTTCCAAAAAGGACTGTAATAAGCTCTGATATGCTCCTTTCAGTGCCTTGGTGACATCCACATGGTTCATTTCTCGTCTCCTTGGGGTTTTTACTCAAATGTCCCCCTCTCAGGGATACTTCCATGAACACCCACCACCACCTCCCTCCCCAGCTTATATTTGGCCATTAATTTTGTTTTCATCTCCTTGAACTTGCCTGCAAGCTCCTTGAGGGTAGAGGCTTTTATCTGCTTGTTCACTGCTTTATCTCCTGCACCTACAACAGTGCCGGCCACAAAATGGGCACTCAATAAATATCTGTGACTAAATAGGCTGTATGGTCAGTATGCCTCAATGATGTCTAAAATTAGCATCCCCTCTCTCTAGCTGTCACCTTGCGGAACAGGTTTTCCGCTGCTGCCAGCTTTCTCCCAAGAATGCTGCGTGGCTTTCCAGAACACCCCCCCAGAGCCTGACTATCCTTGAAAGAGGCAAATCTTTGGCCTTTGAAGGCAGATTTGATTTTTGGAAAACAGCCACAGTTAGATTGTAGCCAGTGAATAAACTAGGTGATTAACCCAGATAATATAATCCTCGGTCCAAAATACAGGATGACTCAAAAGTAGCAAGACTAAACTGCCTCTGGGAGCAGTTTCCAAGAAATTCCAGAATAATTTGAGCAATAGCAGCATCCTTGGAAGAAAGTTGACAGCCTGGATAATTCCAGCTCCCTGGACAATAGCTGTGATGGGAAGAACATTAGTTTATAAAAATGTAATAAATAAGCAACTACTGGAAGTGAATACTTTTAAGGAGATATTGCTCACTCAGAGACATCATTTCTGAGATGCTGAGGAGAAAAGAGCAGTCATTTCTATACATTCTACCCGTGTTCATATGACATTTGGATGGAGCCCAGAGACTCCAGGCAAAGGGACAGGAGCTGGGCAGCTGCTCCAGGGCTGCCACCACAGGGACAGAGCTCAGAGTTTCGTCCATAAGCACCAGTGGGCAGGCCTTCAGTGCCAGGGGCCGTTGTCACATGTGGGCACATTGTCATAGTGCCATCTCACCTCTGAAAGCTGATCATCGTACATACCTCCCTAAGCAACAGGGGGTGGGGAGAAGAAGAGAGTAGGGGATCTGGAACAAGCCCTGGGCCCCCCAAGCGCGGTTCCCAAAGAGGCCTCAGCAAGCTCTGGTCTCTGCAGGGAGAGGAAATGTAGCACATTGCTCCTGGGCGAGGCAGACAGAGTGGAGCTACTGCCCTCCAACACCCTTGCACCTAGCAGGGGCTGCAAACTCAAATCCTTACAGTGGT